ACATCTTCCCAGGTCTTGTCTTGGAGCTATATTGGCGCGAGCCACCTCTGTCACCGATACCATGGTGGAAGCTTCGTCTATGGGCTTGGCTGAATCCTTGACTGCTGATGAACGCAGTGTCGACTTGCTTTACCCAAGGATTGAACGAAGTGAGTGGAAATATATGATACTCTTCTAGTCTGCTAATCTTTCATTTCAAAGTCCGTGAAATCGGTGCTTTCATCGCGAAAGAAGTCATCCGAGCTGCTCAAAAAGCTGTAAGTTATCGTGATTCCTTTGGTTGACGTCCCCAACTAAATCGATGGTCCTTCTTCAGGGTGTCGACCGATCCACAAACCTCCGTTCCATGTCTGATACGGAACTGCTTGCATTCGTAAACTCAAAAATGTGGAGTCCGATGTTGTAGTCCGGATCTTTATGATGCTTCCAAACCTAGATGCTTCGCAATGGCTTAATAAGGGTAATTCTAATCAGTAAAAATATCGAATAATGAAAAATCTATACGTAGCGTACAAATTAGATTCGTTCTACGCTGAAGTGGTTTAAATTTCTTGTAGCTCTTAGTTTGAATGCTGCCAAGTTCTACATATGTCCATGCTGCTCGGGCATGGGTTAGCATGGGTGTTAGGACTAGGCCTAAACTAGACTCCTCTGAAGAGTTGCGGCTTAAGCGTGAAACGTCGTACAACAACAACCTCCGGCTAGGTTGGGATAAGTCAGAGCCCCTTGAAACGTAGAAAGGAAGGAAGGAAGTTTATTACACGGCATGGTCCAAGTACTGAACGCCGAAAACAAGTCAGATTCGCCCACTCTCCCAAAGACCGATATAGTACTTATCCTCCAGCTAAGTCTCTCACTAATAGTCCGACAACTCAACCGCGAAAGCCACTGCAAGTTTCGTGAACCTACAGAGAACTTTTAGTACTCCCAGGGTACCGTGGCGTAGCGACGAGGACTTACTGCAATATATGGTCGAAAGAAAACTCTGGCGAAATGTCAAATCTATCTCGAGTGGTATGAGGAACTAGGATGATGAAAATAAGTAGTCAAAACTTGATCAATCGTAAAGGCATACTTACTTGTGACATTGTTGTCTTCCCAAGCACCCTCGATGGAGTGAGCCGCGGGATAACCTGCTCCCATCCATGACTGGTGATCGCTGCCTGCAAATCCGGGATATGCAGTTTCGACCCAAGGTATATCCACTGAATCACATTGCATGATAAATATAAAAAGACGATGATGATGTAGGAGGGGGAGGTGAGGAAGACATGTTAGCGGAGGATTAAGAATAAACGGGCATTGTTGCGTACAATACTTGTCAATTAATAACTTGGTCCACTCCGTTAGTGCTGGGTCTACTCTGTTCATAACGACACCGACTCGTTCTTGAGAGCCAGCGAGACCCAAGCTGAATATACGCATCGTCAGTATCAGCGAACACCAACCAACGTAGGCATTAACACGTTACACACCGTCATATCAAACTCGAACATCCCTCTCACATTCTTTCCGCTTTCACAAACGAATCTGCAATATCCAATGATCCTAACAGTCCACCCTCCTCACCGCGTAGAAATGAAACTCCAACGGTGAAGTGGGGATGAATTTGCTTTCAAGGATCGCCCGTACGCTTCCAACACAGTAACCGTTCCACTTCCATCGTCATCTGCACCGGGCGCACGTAGCCATGGGTTTTCACGATTTATAGAGTCGCAGTGCGCGCCAATGATTGTTATAGGCGAAGAAGATGAGGCGGACTTGGGCATGATATATATGACCTAGGATTTAAACTTAAGCCAACCAGAGCTGGAATGAGAAAGAGAGACACGTACCATACTTTCTTGCTCAAAGCCATGGTCAACGAGCATGACTTCAACCTCCGCAGCCTCTCTCAATTCCTGACTCGCATATTCAGCCGTATAGTTCACCGCGCGTTGATACAACCACCTTGACGAATTATGGCCACTTTCTGACTGTAATACCGCGTGTAGAGTGATGTGAGCGTCTCGAGGTTGATCCTTTGCTCCTTTGAAGATAACAGGGGAAGAATTCTCGGAACGAAAGTTGAATTTGGTGGATGATAGATTTGGTGGAATTGAAAGGCTCCGTAATCCTTAGAGCCAAAATCTGGATGTTCGGTTCTGTGATATGATATGAATGAGCTGAGTACGAGAACGAAGAGCGAAGAGGATGTACACGTCAATGAAGTCATGTCCCCTCTTCTTCGCTCGAGTTTTTCTGTCTCTGAAATCCATACCGGTTCACGAAACCCTTGGTCATGAAAGAATCGCACGAGGCGAAGGGCGGAGAAATTCGGTCCAGGTCTAGAACAAAGTAAGAAGGATATATAAACTGACGAGTGCTGAATCTCGCAAGTACCCTTGTTTTCAGCTGGAATTTCCAATATCAGTTGCCACCCATCCTCCAAGTTGTCATGATCATCATTCAAGTGTGGTCACCAGTGGTCTGCAAAGTCAACAGCGCGAAAACTATGTATACAGTTGAAAAACCACATTGGAGATGAAGGTGAAGGTGAAGAGTGCGAAATAAAACACCTGATCGCAGCATGGGATTGAATATATTATTATAGTCCGGCATTTTAGTGATAAGATGTAGACATGGCCAGATGTTAAGCTAAGGAATTCTAGAACTCGAACTAAGACTTGTCAGTTGTAGATGAACGAGGAGAGAATTCAGACTTGGGTACAACACTGAAGGGACTAGTTCGGGATTTAAGCGCCTGAGTCTACATTCTAGCGCTCAATGAATTTGTGCCGTCATTTGAGCGTCATTTTCATCAAACTTCTTGTCTGCTTTCGCATGCATGCCATGTTGATGCCATGAGAAGTACAAACTTTTTGATGTATAAAATTCATTTCGTAAAGGTCGTTTTTCTCCCTTCCTCCAAGTTTGAACGAGCCTCGACGTCCTTGTACTTCCTCAAAACTCCTCTTTCTTTAGAACGGATACAGCAATGATGTTCAAGTCTCGCATTATTTCTCTATCTCTCGCTCTTTTTGCTGGCCTTGTGGTGCTCAGAGCTCTACGTCGTCGCAGCAGGTTCATCGCAGACATCGTTGTCAACGGTAAGCGTACGGGCTCACCATCTTGACCAGCATTTAATCACATACCTTTCAGTAAGTAACAACTCATCGGCGAGCAATGCCTCCACGGTGTTCACTCCATCCCAAATCACTGCTAAATTGGGTGATTGGTTCTGTTCAACTTCACCAAGGAACCACACCGCAACGCAGTCAGCGTTCTTTGCCCATGCGAACCACTAAATTTCACCAATGGGACCAACGGCTTTGACTCGAACTTTGTCGTCGTCCCGGCTAATTTCAGTATGGCGACGGATGGCGCATTTCCATCCAGGCTGTTCCAATATTGGAGTCGAATCAGAACACGACAATGTGTTCTACGACGTGAATACCTGTGCTGAAGGTGGTGTTGGTGTTATCAACCTCGTTGCCGGCGATCCGGCGACGAGTGGGCAAACTCTGGATGGTTCAGGGTACGTTGACATTCATGCTGTCTTTCTTTTCGTTTTACTCTATCCATATTCTGGGATTACGACCAATTCCAACGGAATATCTTGACACGTGCTAGACATCCTTTTTTCATTTCTATCCTTCTGTTCGCACCAACAGCTGCCTGCCCTTTTCCTTACCATCATTCTCACCGTCATCTAACCTCATCACTAACGTTGTCTTTTTTCCTTCTATCTAATAGCGCAATGCCATCCGCCTCAATGCACTTCGACCTCAGCTCTTCTGGTACTAATACCTCAACAGGTACTAGCAGTGGCAGCTCCGCGTCCTCCACGGAAAGCACTAATCCAAATAGCGCCCTCGGAGCTGGAGTTAGAGCTGGAATCCCTGTCCGGCTTGGTACTATTGGCCGTAGCACCTCTGTTCGTGCTCTAGAGCCTGAACCAGCAGGTTTGATCTTTGTCAAAGACAATTCCAGTCGATATCCTTTTCCTTGAACACTGTTCTTTTCTGTTGAATACGTGACATACATATACCGATAGAACTTGCTTATACCTGCTTGTGCCTTTATTATTTCTTCACACTTCCTCACCTCGCACGATTGTACACTGGGTACGGTGTAACGGTGTATATACTTACTATGCTATCGATCTTGTATATATCTTGTACGGATCCTTGATCTACTTGTCCTTTTGTCACTTATCGGCGTAGCAAATATCTCATGGTACGCGACACGGTGGACGCATAGATACTGAAGTGACAAGTCAGTAATTGATGGATTTACGCCCGGGCGCTTATTTATTCCCACATGTCAAACAGCAACGCCCATCGACGTTCAATTCCTCCATCTGCGACTGCCACTGCCACTGGTTCTCCACTTCGACCAACATCGCCACTTGCTCCTTCAGCGAGCTCCGTATCCGTTCCGATAAGGCCACGAACAACCAGTGTTCACGTCGCCTAAACCTCCTTCCACACCTCCAGCGCGAACCACAACTCGTGCTCGAGATTTACTGCGGAAACATTATGGCCTTGGTATCGGCACACCCAGCTCAAGTGGCCGCGGAACGCCCGACGAACGAGATCCAATGAACATGGGTCAGTCCTTTTCTTAATCATTCGCTCACCCTTGTTCCTCACAGTACCTCCAAAGATTCCCCTTCCTTCGACGCAAAAGCCTACTACTCCCAGCTCATAACCACAGCCAACCTCTCCACCCTACTCAAGAAAAGAGAACGAAATCGTCGGCGAGATCCGCCTTCTCGATTCAGAACGCCAGAATCTCGTGTACAACCACCATCACGAACTCATCGCTGCTAGCGACACTATCGGCGCCATGAAATCGCATGCGGAAAGCTTGGATGCTGATTTGGACTTGCTGAAAGCTGCGTTTAGCGAGATTTCGAGACTGAGCAGTGAGCTTGCTTCCATGGAGTAGATATTACAGTTCTTGTCTATCGACTCAGAAGGTACAAGATAGATCTAGTAGATTCCATACTCAACTATGGGGGTATAGCTCAGCTGGGAGAGCAGCAGACTGAAGCCAGTTGCTCACATGACAGGTCTTCTGAAGGTCCCGCGTTCGATCCGCGGTACCCCCCATTCCCATAAATTGAGTAAGTTCTACCATTTTTTGATAATCCATAATCATCCCAGCTGTCCAGTCTTAGCCCTGTACAGCATATTTTGGCTTACAAAGGATTTTTCCCCTGAACACCAAAGGTGGCAAAGTGCTCATGGTGAATCCTGCTTCCCCAGGACTCCCCATTGACAACACACTCTGGAATTTCTTTCTCTCCACATTCCACCTTTCCTTTGATCCTCACCTCAAGCATGCACATGGCATTATGCTCATTTCATGAGCTGGTCTCCACCTCAGCATTAGAACTTGACTCTAGCAAATCACATCTGCAAAATGTGCATGGGAAGCTGCTTTCCAGCACTGTACAGCACTGGCCTGGGCTGCTGGAAACACCTGACAACAGCTCCAGCTCACCCACATTTTGGAGTGAGAAAGAGTGAGGGGTGAGCCAAAGGCCAACCCAAGTGATTTCAAGTGGACTGGAGACTGAGTGTGGAAAGAGCGAGATACGGGCCACATTTTGCTGATACAACAGTAGCAATCTTTGGGCTCTGGGGCTCTCCTGTAACTGAATAGACCTGCTCTGATCAAAAACCAGGTTTTGCAGATGCATGCTGTTGAAAAAATGAGCAGTGGTGATACCTCTACAGAGGGGATCTTAAAGTGCGGTGGTGGGCAACAAAGGGGAAAAGAAGATCACATAATGCGGTAATTGTACAAAGTATATATAGTCAAACAGAAGGAAATGTAAGGCAAGCGGAGTGGCCAGATAACCTTTGTCAATAGTAGTACTTATTACTCACAGCTAGTCACCATTGCTGTGATCTGCTGTGCTTCCCTATTCCCATCAGCAGTGTTGCTCAAAATGCTCAAACCTTGCTGATCATTGTATTTGAGTAAAAAAGGCTGAACTGTGTCAGTGCTTGGCCGAACACTATCTTGCATTTGCACTATGAGATGATCAGGGTGAGTTAACTTGTGTACAGTGAAAATATGTACTTAGAAACCTACTATTTCTAGTACTAGGATCTAATTCCAGACTTTCCAAAAACCAAGGCAGATCGATTCTCCCCGTTGAATATATGAGATTGAGAATCAGAACCAATACTAATTCCAATGGACACAACAATCAATGTTGATGCTATTCCCTGTAAGCAAAGAAGTGAGTTCGGAGTGAGGGATTTGTGCAACAAGCACTTACCACAATCTGGGTCAAAGCACAAGGAGTCAAGAAATTAATCACTGACTGAAATGAGTCCGAGCCCACATTGAAGTTGATGATGACCCATATAGTTAAAAATATTGAGTTGAGTGCGCCGGATTGTAGACTACAAAAAAATGATGAAAGAGTTCAAGTTTAGTGTAATAGTGCATACATAGGGCCGAGAACACTTTGGGAAATACTTGTTTTCTTCTTGCCACCAATTAGCATTTTCTTGATCCTGTGGTCCAACCACCAGACTCTACCAGCTAGTGTTTGATCCTCATAAGCATGGATTGTTAACATCAGCTTCAGCAGCAACTCACCCATGAGTCCAGTTAAAACGAGGTTTTCACCAAAGGTTATGAGCACATACACCAGATAGACAGTTTCGATGGCAGATGCCGCTGCCTCATCATCTCCGTGAGAGGAATCTGAAACTAATAAGACTATCCAAGTGACTGGCACAGAATAAACAATGAATTTGAACAGAGATGTTAAAACCAGAGCGAAAGCTCACTGAAGATTCCTATTAGGCCCAACAAAAGGCAAAATAATGACGGATTTTCTTGAGTTCCATAGACGGTAACAACGGTGTATCTATCAAAACATTGAGCCTTGTTGGCTGGCCAATGATACTAAGTGGCCAATAAATCATACCATCATAGCATCTGAAAGCATGCTAACACATACATGTTATTGTAGATGGGTTTACTAGAAAGTTGCGGTTATAGCTTACCCAGCAATGAAATATATGTAATAGGGCCCAGTTTGAAGTTTGCCCCCCGGTTCTTCAAAAATGGAAGACAGACCCAGCCCTGTAACTTCAATCATTCCGGTGAGAGCAGAGGCATTGACAGATCTCCAGGCCAAGTCCAAGGATATGGAAATAGTGGCCAGTGTAAAAAAGACCAAAGTTTGCAATAACATATAGAATCCCTGGCATAATTTTTTTTTCGAAAGATATATAAACTGAAACTGAAAAGAACCAGAAAAATGCCTGATATTTTCATATTATCAATATGGTACGGCCCCCCGGCCCCCCGATACAAATATGTACTCACCATATAGAAACAGCTCAACCTAAGAACATTGAAGTACGTTTAGCATCATTTGACCATGGCTACACATAGACTGTGTTCACGCACCGCAATCGGTACTATAAATGTTTGGACCACTGTTTGCTGCAAAGCGGTGTATTCAAACTTTGGGAAGCATACCTGGTCGGAGGACATTAATGAATGATGTTGAAGGACTCCGCGAGGACCCCTCACTTTATAGCATTCCGGCGTTCAGACCGTGCCGAGTAAATTAATCCCTTCCTTGCGACAGATTAAGTGCCAAAAGATGCTCCCGCTGGTATCAGATTAGTTTGAAGAAGAACGTTTGATGCTCCTGCTCCTTTACAAATTACTTGCAAATTACAGCATACTGTTTCTCAAGCTGCCTCCAACCACCTCCCCAACCTCAAACTGTAAGGTCAGAGCGGCATATCGGGTAACATCACACAAAATAAGCTCGCACAAATGAATCCTTGTTCTAGTCCGTAAACTCTATCCCAATCTCCGTGATACCTCTCGTTTCAAACTGACTGACGAAACTGTCCTCCTGCAGGAGACGGGCCACGGTTCATATTCCGTAGACGTTATCGGTTCTTCCTCTGCCATTCTCAATTGAAGCTCCCGTTTTTTATATTATTATCCAGGGTGTCCTTTCACAAACACTCCCCTCTTGGATCAAGTCTGAGGGGCAAACCGTTTATCACGGAGGAGCTCATCCGATGAATGGTATAAAAGCGCTACTCAGTTTTATCGTTCTTTGTTGAAACAAACTTGAGGAAGACTCGCACACGCGTTCGATGTCGACATCATCGGATTTTACTCAAGCAACATGTTTTGAATTTTCTCGTTTATGAATATGTAGGAAGCTCCAATGAATGATCGCGAATGGCCTTGAAATATACATTTTGAAGTGTAGTTTGCTCAAATATGCCCGAAGCTGACATAGTTAAGTTCCGTGTACATGCCTTTCTTCGAAATCTTCATGTGCTGTACTTCTCTCGCTTATGTATGTTGCAGGACTTATTTCCGAGTCGTCTCGGTGAGTATTCTTTCACCAGCTTGCATGATGATATATAGTAAACTCACTTTTTATCCTTCTGGACCGAGTGCACTCGCAAGCGATGAAAGTGAGTAGGTAGTTATCTAGCTTTGTTTTGTTACTGTCATTGTTTCACACTGTAAATGCTCTAGAGCAGGACGATGCAACGGTTTGTCGCCAACTCGGTCAGGGCGATCAGCTTCCACGTTCCTTGAAGCTCACAGCGTAGCGGCGCAGATGGTAAGCAGATGGTAAACAGATTTCATCTATTTCTCCTATCTGGTGAGGTACAGCCTGGACTGAAAGAATTTAGAAATTTAGTGGGAGTACTAACTACCGTAGATCTTCGTGAGACCGCCCTAAAAGGAGGTCCTTCAGACCCTGAGGAACAGTGTCCTTTTCCCTATAGGACATTTCCAGTGACTTTAACGACGGTATACACTTGACAGTGTCCCTCAACTCCATCTCATAACACCAAAACATCTATCAATACCAACCTCTCCAAAACACAACCAGAGCGCTCAACAAGCGGCGCAAGGTACTGCTTTGGAAAAAGACTACACCTGTTGTAAGCCAGCTCTGTCACCTTAGAAGCATTGCATAGTTCAACTCTTTTCAAACAAGGCAGCACTAGATGGTGGAATATATCCAGGCTATCTTCTCCAGCGGTGACAATAAAAGCAATGTCTTCTAGATGAGGCATTACAACCATAGTCTCTGGTTCAGGAACTGGATTATATGATTATGTCGAGAGAGACGAAGGCAGCAGCGTTTGAGCGATGAACATCGGTGCAATAACCACAAAATCTCGGTAGCACAACGTAAACCCTTCGAGTTGATTTCCGTCAGCTGCGACCATGGCATATCCCATGCAAGCGCACTAGAGCGGACATTCAAAAACGAAACGGTCTGCAAACTAGGAACGAAGTCTGAACGGGCCAATGGCGCTATGGGTTTTGTGAACTCGGACGTCTCGCTACCCAATCCCAAATATTCCAATGCAGGTAAAGGTTGAGCGAGAATGATCTCTAGAGTATCGTCTGGGACGAACAACTGGAGTCGTTTCCAGCGGAAAGAGGAGGATACTACCAGGTCTCGGAGCGTGGCATGAATACGAGGATCGCCGACCTTTGGATGCCAGATGAGTTCCAGGGATAGTGGAACGCTCCTGATCGTGCGAGAAATAAATTTAGCATGTTGAACCAATTTCGTCCGGGCATGATGAAGATTGAGACCGAAGACCAGAGCAGTGGGGTAGATAGCACTGTTGCATGCCAGGAAGAACATACGCGTGCGTAGATTAGCGGGGGGAATGATGAGGGCGTCCATTCGGGAAATGATGTGTGGTCAAGGGTGAGAAAAAAGATGTAAGAAAGCAGTTCGGCGGGTAATATTTGGATATGAGATAACATGGAGGTATGCCATGTTATGGAGTTTGCGAGGTTCACAGCCCGATCCAAAGCTGCGTCTAGTTCAGTTTTTAACCGTCGAAATTCGAGCTCTTGTGGTTCAAGAGGCTGCAGTTGGGTATTAGACTACATCGAATGCGTAAGTAAGATTAGACGACACAAGAACAGCCGTTACTTACCTCGGAAACATCCTGATCCTGAAGTTGAAGAAGAGCTATCTTGGTGCTGGTATCTTTGATCTCGTTTTTGACCTCCTGCAAGGTGTTCTTCTTCCACAGAATGACTTCTTTCAAGACAGCTGGTTCTGTA